GTTCTGAGGAAGGGTCACCGGACCCGAAACGTTAACTCTGTTTTCTCCTCCACAGATGCTGCCAGACCTGCTGAGCTTTTCCAGCAACTTTGTTTTTATTACAGGATAGATGTTAACACTGCATTTTCTTCCGTTCTGTGAATGAAGGTTACATAAAATGCTTTACGAGGAATGTAATTGTTTTACGCGAATTGAAGAAAATTGCATGTGTGGGCTTTGATTACTTAGAATTTTTCATTCTGTCCACAAGCCAGCAAAAGAATTACAAGTGTAATGCCCAAACTATATCTCCTTGATTGTGATGTGTGTAATTCTGTGTGTCATCAGACCACAGGTATTTGAAAAGGGAACGATTCATAAAACAGGTTTCCAATGGTCAGTCAGCTTAGTGTCCATTATTGGGAAAATGTCAGAGTGTATTATAAAAGATGTAATAGCAGGGCATTACAAAATACATAGTCAGCAAGATTTCATGAAAGGGAGATTATGCCTGACAAATTTACTCAAATTCTTTGCGGAGGTAACAAGCAGGACAGACAAAGGGGAAATAATAGATGTCATATAGTTAGATTTTCAAAAGGCATTTGATAAGGTACCATACATTCCGCTACATTATAGGATAAGAGTGCATGCTGTTGGAGGTAGTATATTGGTATGGATCAAGTTTTGGCTAACTAATAGAAGTTACAGAGTTGGGATAAGAGGAACATTTTCAGGACGGCACCTTATAACAAGTGGGTCTAGCATGGGGATCAGTGCTGGGTCCACAGCTATTTACAATATATATGATTTACTTGGTTGAGGAAAGTGAATGTACTACAGCCAACTTCGCGGATGACACAAGAATATGTGGGAAGGCAAGTGGTGAAGATGACACAAAAGTCTGCAGAGAGATATAGACAGGTTAAAGAGTTGGCAAAAACTTGGCGGATGGAATGTAATGTGGGGAAATGGGACTTTAGCAGGAAGAACAGAGGAGCTGAATATTATTTAAACATAGAAAGTTTACAGAGAGCTCCAGAACAGAGGGATTTGGGAGTCCTGGAACATAAATCACAAAAAGTTTGCATCCGTGTTCAGCAGATTATAGGGAAGGCAAATGAAATGCTGGCCTTTTTCCCCAAGGAAATGTAATATAAAAGTAGGGATATTTTGCTAAAACTGTACAAGGCACTGTTCAGACCACACCTGGAATACTGATGACATTTTTGGGGCCCAGAGGATATAATCTCAGAATAAGGGGTCACATTTTTAAGGTAGAGATGAGGAGGAATTTCGTCTCTGAGAGGGTAGTGAAACCGTGGAATTCTTTTCCAGAAGGGCTGTTGAGGTTGGGTCTTAAAGTATATTCAAGGCTGAGATAGACAGATTTTAAATCAAGGAAATTGAGGCTTTTGGGGAAAAGGCAGGGGAGTGGAGTTGAGTATTTATCAGATTAGCCGTGATCTGATTGAATGGTGGAGCAGGCTTTATAGGCTGAACAGCCTACTTCAGTTCCTGGTTTATCTATGGAGAATGAAGAAGTTTTAATAGCAGCACCTTTGTGATCTCCAGTGTTGTAATAGCATGGTTGCTGTTGCCTCTTCTATCTATTACCTGTCTTGATAAAACTGGTTCTTTTGTTGAGATTGTAATGGGCCCAGTGCAATATCTCTCCTAGGTTTCACTAGGAGGTGGTGTTGAGGGAAAGGACCATGTTTAGTCTTGTTTACTTAACTCATCCTAATCAAACTTTATTCCACTGCATGAGTTTCCTCCTGGGGGGTGGGGGGGGAAATTTGCCTCAGCTCAACTCTGCTGCTGAGTATCTTGTCTGATGTCTTACAGAATCGAATGTCTGATTTCTTCCATGCTTAAGCAAGTATTCACCTATTTTATGGGTTGTATCTATTAATTCTTTTGTCCAAATGCTGGATGGCTGGGTCGTGATGCCAACCGCACAAGTTCGATTCCTGTAACGAGCTGAGGTTACCATGAAAGCCCTGCATTTTCAATCAACGGTCCTCTTGAATTAAACTGACTTTCACTTTTCAGCCACACAGTGAAACTCTCAGCACTCCCCATTTGGAAATTAACTGAATATACTACAACTGTGCAGGTGAGAATACCGTGTGCAGTTTTGTTCACCTTATTTAAGGAGACACGTACTTGTATTGTAAACAGGTCAGAGAAATTTTCAACAAGTGATTCCTGGAATGAAGAATTTGTCTTGTGATGAAAGCTTAAGCAGGTTGTGCCTATGCTCATGGTAGTACAGGAGCAGAAACATCTTTCTTTTAAGGGGGCTGGTCAGGGTGGATGTGGAGAAGATGTTTCCCTGTGTGGGTGAACCCAGAACTGGATGGAACAGTTTCAAAACAAGGTGTCTCCCATTTAATCCTGAGATGAAGAGCAATTTCGTCTCCAAATGGGTCCGCAGTATTCAGAATGTTCTCCCCACCCCAGAAGCTGTAAAGGCTGGGTCATTGAATATGTTCAGGCTGAGTTAGACAGTTTTGATTGACAGCA